ATGTACGTATGTGTCGGAGGTTGGGGGGGGAGATCGCAGTGGAACGGAGACCCCCAACCCAGAAATCTTTCGTTTCGTTCGTTTCGTGCGTGCGGGCGAGGCGACGCTTCGTGGGCGCGCGAGAGGACTGAACCCGCTGTTGCCAGGGCGAAGTCAAGACAACTGATTTTCCACCGCCCGCCCGCCCGTCCGGTGGTGGCTCGCGGTGTCCCGCGGTGTCCGGTGGTGTCCCGTGGTGTCCCGTGCGTGGTGTCCGCCATTGCTAGGGCGAAGTCAAGACAAATGATGCCCGCCCGCCCGTCTGTCCGTCCGTCCGGCGGTGGCTCGCAATGTCCCGCGGTGTCCCGTGGTGTTCCGTGGTGTCCCGTGGTGTCCCGTGGTGTCCCGTTGAGTGAGATCGATAGTGAGATCGATAGTGAGATCGATTTTGAGACCGATGTGGCCCCCCGAGGCGTCCCGTGGTGTCCCGTGGTGTCCCGTTGAGTGAGATCGATAGTGAGATCGATAGTGAGATCGACAGGTGTCCCGAGGTGTCCCGTGGTGTCCCGTTAAGTGAGATCGATAGTGAGATCGATGTTGATATCGATGTGGTGCCCCGAGGCGTCCCGTGGTGTCCTATGGTGTCCCGTTGGGTGACATCGATAGTGAGATCGATAGCGAGATCGACAGGTGTCCCGTGGTGTCCCGTTGAGTAAGATCGATAGTGAGATCGGTAGTGAGATCGATGTGGTGTCCCGAGGTGTCCCGTGGTGTCCCGTGGTGTCCTATGGTGTCCCGTTGAGTGAGACCCCCGTGGTGGCCCGTGGTGTCCCGTGGTGTCCCGTGGAGTGAGATCGATAGTGAGATCGAGTGACGCAGATATTGTTTCCCCCCCTTCCCACCCCCACAACCTCCTCATTACCCGAAATGCGGTCGTATAGGTATGTGGATGGACGGGTGTCTTTACGTACGTATTGACGTATGTATGCAAATGCATGTACATGTATGCATGCAGGTATGTTTGTATGAATGTACGTATGTATGTATGTATGGAGTCATACATGCAGGCATGCATGTCTGCATGCATGCACTTGTGTATGTATGTGTGTATGTATCAATATGTATGCATGTATGTATGTTGGCGTAAGTATGTATGTATGTATGTATGTATGTATGTATGTATGTATGCACGTGTGTATGCATGTATGTATGCATGCGTGTACAAACGTATGCATGCATGTATGTATGTATGTATGCACAATATATGTATGCATGTATGCCTGTATGGATGGATGGATACACGGATGCATGTGTGTATGAATGCAAGTTCGTTGGTATGTATTGGGGTGTATATCTAGGTGTATCGGTGTATGTTTGTATGTAGTTGTGTATGTGACGAGCATGTGTGCATGTATGTATGTATGCACGTGTGTGTGTATGTATGCATGTATGAATGTATGCATGCGTGCATTGTTGTATGGACGTATGCATGCATGTATGCATGTATGATTGGATGTAACCGTGAAGTATGTATGTCGAGGAATATGTTCGCGCGTGCGCGTCTGGAGCCGTGCATGTCAGCGCCCGCAGTCCACCGTGAAAGTGTGTGCGCATACTTGTGCACACGTTTTGGCACGCCCCGTCGCTTGTGGAAGCACCGCAAGCACTAATCACCGACCCCCGGTATGATGTGCAACAGTTCAATTGACGATTGCAGGCGGTCCTCACGCTCCCGCGTGGCTTGGGCCGCCCCAGCGGTTCGGCTTGTGTTCCGTATTGATATCAGATGTTTCGCCCCAGTTATGCGACGCTTGAACGGCAGAGGACGTGGAGAAGGCGAAAGGGAATGAAAGGGAGGAGGAGAAGGAAGAGGAGAAGGAAGAGGAGGAGGAGGAAGAGGAGGAGGAGGGCGAAGAGGAGGAGGAGGCGGCGAAGGAGGAGGCGAAGGAGGAAGAAGAGAGGAGAAGGAAGAGGACGAAGAGGAGGAGAGGGAAGAGGAAGAGGAAGAGAGGATGAGGAGGAGGAGGAAGAGGACGACGACGAGGAGCGGGAGCTGGAGGAGGAGGAGGAGGTGGAAGTGGAGGGGGAAGAGGCAGAGGAAGAGGAAGAGGAAGAAGGATAGGAGGACTAGGAAATAGGAACAGGAAAGATGAGGCGCAGGAGGAGCAAGAGGAGGATGTCAGGGAGAACAGGAGGACGGAGCAGCAGGAGGAAGACGAAGAGAAGAGGAGGAGGAGGAGGAGGGGGGGGGGGGGGGAGGGAGGAGGAGGAGGAGGAGAAGCAGAAGCAGGAGCAGCAGGAGCAGCAGGAGCAGCAGGATCAGCAGGAGGAGGAGGAGGAAGGGCAAAGTGCGGCGCGGAGGACGAGTCGGACGGCCGCGTGCGCTTCTGGTTGGGCAAGGAACAGTCGCCTGGAGAGGTCGTCGACCATTTCTACGAAGACGATGCTGGGAGGGGGCGCTTGGGGCGGTCAGACGGGGGGGGGGTTGGCCGCCATGGTCCCTTACGCCAGCGTTCCCCCCTTCTCCTCTCCCTTCCCCCCTCTCCCCCCCTGACACCACCCCCTTTTCATCCTTATCGGGATGTCTGTGTGTGGTCGGGGGTGAGGAGGGGGAGGAGGAGGAGCAGCAGGAGGAGGAGGAGGAGGACGCGCCCCCGACGGGCGTCCAGCGGCAATCCCGTCAGCCTTGCTGTAACAGGTTTCCAGGCTCGTTCGGTCGCTGGCACACCGTCGGGCCTGACATGTGCTTGCATATATATATATATATATATATATATATATATATATAGAGAGAGAGAGAGATGGTCGCCCCCCAGCACCCCCAAACACAAAAAAAACACAACACCTTCACTGATCGTTCGCTCGTCGTCGTCGTCGTCGTGGGGGGTGGTGGAGGACTGCAGTCGGAATGCGACCGTGCGAGGCTGAGCGTGGCTGTCGGGGCGCGCGTCGGCGATGGCGGCGAGCTCGTTGATACCCTCGTGCCATTTCACGTGCGCCGCGGCGTCGTGGCCAGGGTGACGTAGAGCTCTGGGGCGCTTGATTCCAGTCATGAAAGGGCTGGGTGGGCAGGAGGCGTTCGATGCGACCGAGCAGCAGCTTGTCCAACCACAGCGCAGTACTTTTTCGAGGGCACTTTTGAGGGTCGTCGACGAGATATCTCACAGCGGCGCAGTCGGTTGCCGTGAGTCGTCGCTCGTGCATCGCGCCATGGATCCAGAAGTTGCGAAGACGCATGCAGCTGCCGAATCGGAATTCCTTCGTTTTTTTTCAGCGTTTTGGATCTCGTGAACAACAAATTCGAATACGTTGTTGCAGCGGCGACTGGCGGTCGTGAGCTCTGTCAGACGGGGAAAATTCTTGGCGGGATCGTGCACGAATTGGCCCGCGGAGTCCCCAGCCGACCCAGTGGAACGGAACAGTTCCAAATGGGCGGGTGTTGGGAAGGAGAAGACTTGGTGGAATGCGACCGCCCACTTGCCGCTGCTGCAGCAGAGCGTGGGCGTTTCGGCATGGAAGAGGGAGGCTGAGCACTGTGGGCGGGTTCGGTTCCATGTGTCCGACGGAGAAGGCACGTTTTGAAAGGGCGGTCGGCCCACGACGCTGCAATCGCAGCAGACGCTGTCATGCGAGCTGTCGCGGTCGGTGGCGAAGGCATCTCTATGGCAAAGAGCCCGCAACGAACGCAACGCACTTCTGATCAGCGCCGGGAGAGGCCAGAAGTCTGCGGGGCACCAGCGGTGCAAGCGATGCATACGCGGGAGGCTCGTTTGCGCTGGTCGACGCTGAAGTCCAGCCGCGGGACGTCCTGATCGCGGCGAGCGCCATGCAGCGTATCTGCCCTGGGACGTCCGGGGGAGGCCGGCCACTTGCGCACGGCGGAAGAATCCACATTACCCGCGCTGCACGCCGGAATAACAGGGCACGTGTAAAGAAAACCAAAAATGGAAACGGCTGTTGTTGCAGACAGACGTGGAAGGCCCTCGGTCTGGGCGTTGAGAGTAGCAGGTGTGCTGAGCAGAGCATGCGCGGCAAAGCGGCGGGCGGTGGACATCGTCCGCCATTTCAGGCGGCATCTGTCGAGAGTGGACATCAGCAGAAGCCTGGAGCCAAAGCCTACGGAAGAGTCCAAACATGAAGCAAACACCTTGCGAAAATGTTTGGGTCTGGCCTTTCCAGGTCTCTTGGGTGGCCTCGCGGGGCCGTTCTGGGGTGTTTTCGAACGTTATTAGGCCGTCCTGGAACCGTTCTGGTCCGTCTTGGGGGGCTCTGGTTGTCTAGAGGTCCCCTTCGGGGCTTGTGGGGGCCGTCTTCAGGCTCGTTGGGGCCGTTTTGGGTTGCTTTTTGGGTGCATTGTGAGCCGCGTTGAGGAGATGTTCTGCGGTTGTTGGGCCGCGTCTTGGCGTGTCCCCGGGCCGTGTCCGATCGGCCCTGGGATCACTAGGTGTGGGCCATCGGGGGGGGTACCAGCCTGGAACATATCCCTATCCCTATGCTGGGCATCTCTTCATCACGATGCCAATCTTAGGGGCTCCCTTATCTTATTCTTTTGAGGGCGCAGCCCTAAGATTGTCATCGTTTTTTTGCGTGTCAATCTTAGGGATAGGGATAACTTCGAGGCTGGTAAGGGTGGGGGCCTTATTACTTGCTCGGGGCATGAGTGCACGCGTGAAAAATAAGTTCTTCCAGTCTGCCAGGAAAGGCCCGCGCCGGGAGGATCGGCGGTGGCATGCGCTCGGAAGGAGGAGGGGGAGGAGGCGGAGGAGGAGGAGGAGGCGGAGGAGGAGGAGGAGAATGGCCGCCGATATTTCAGGCATGCTTCTTCGGGGCTGGGTTTTCGACGGGCGCATGGCCTCCGAAACCCAGGTGTTACAGCCACGCGCGCGCCCGATGACGGGGGCGACTTCGGCGCCGCAGCCCTTGACAATGCCGAAACGTCGACGCGTTTGCAGGTGCTGCAGGGATCTAGGCCGAAATCGCCATTCCTTCCTGCAGTAGAAGTCGGCCGCAGCGGCGCGAAGATGGCCGCGTTCCGCGGCCAGGGCCGTGAATCAGCCCCTCTCCGGCGGGACGGCGCCAGGGTGCGAACGTGGTCGCGGTTCTCGGTCCGCGGGGCGCGGGACGCGAAGCGCGAAACCGAATTGCACAGGTGCCGGAAACGAAGGGGGGTAGTTGTGTGGTCCCAAGGTCACGGGCGTTTTTTTTGCCAACGGGCCAAGAATCAAGAATCGCCGGCCGCGCCGTGGGCATTTCAAGGAGGTGGGTCTTCGTGGCGAGCGACGCGCTGCAAGCCGGAGTCAAGGAGCAGCCAAGGTGAAAACGATACCTCCGCTCGTTGAAAGTAGGCACTTTGGATTCCCAGATCCCAATCTACTTCAAGCGCCTCCCTACTTCAAGAATCGGCATGGTTTTGCTGTGTTTCGTTGCTTTCTGGGAGGGCCTGGACCCAATCAACTTAATCCGCCTTCCTACTCCATGTTCTTACCTACTTCTTCTGGCCGACGTGTAATGAAGGGCCGCGAATTGTCATTGTGTTTCGCGCCGCTTGCTCTGGCCCGCCACGCTCCGGCGCGACACGCGAGCCGCGCCCTGGGCCCATCTCCCGGCCTCCCGGCCTGAGGGGCGGATAAGGGGGCTACATGCGAACCCCACCGTTAAGTCGGGTTTGTCCTTTTACGGGGGGGATGTTCACAAATAGTCCAAAAAAAATGTGGGGAGTATGTTTTGACAATTTTCGAACATTTTGGGGGCATTTGTTGGAATAGTTTTAATTTTTCGCCCAACATCCCCCTGTAGGGGGACAGGCCCGACTTAACCCTACCCCCCACGATTTCTGCGGGGGAGTGTGGGGTTTACTTCCTTCGGGAGCTCCCGAGCGAAGTGAACCCCACCCTCCTTAGCGGAGCGGCGCGCGATCCGCTTGCAGGGCACACCGTCCACGCGCCCAGGCCGCCGCCCCAAAACAGCTCGGCGTCGGCTTGGCCAATGGTCGGGCGAGCTCTGCCAGCCGGCTGGCCTGCTGCTGCTCAAGTCGGGTATAGCCAGGACCCCAGGTAGGGGGACCCGGTTAGTTTTAGGGCCCTGGAACCCCAAATTTGCCAGAACCACTAAAAACCAGGTCTGCCGTAGGTTGTGTTTTTCCCAACCATCCTGTGGTGTTGGGTCTTCGTTTTGAAGAGACGTCGCCCCGCGTTCCTCCTCCTTCCTCCTCCTCCCCTTCCTCCCCCCCCCTCCCCCTCCCACACCCATTCTGGCACACCCCTCACACGTTTCGTGGCCCCTCAGGGAGCTCCACAGAAGGCCCCAGTGGCTGCGCCCGCATGCGGTTCCACCCCCCATTCTGGCACACCCCTCACACGTTTCGTGGCCCCATAGGGAGCTCCACCGAAGGCCCCAGTGGCTGCGCCCGCATGCGGTTCCACCCCCCATTCTGGCACACCCCTCACACGTTTCGTGGCCCCATAGGGAGCTCCACCGAAGGCCCCAGTGGCTGCGCCCGCATGCGGTTCCACCCCCATTCTGGCACACCCCTCACACGTTTCGTGGCCCATAGGGAGCTCCACCGAAGGCCCCAGTGGCTGCGCCCGCATGCGGTTCCACCCCCCATTCTGGCACACCCCTCACACGTTTCGTGGCCCCATAGGGAGCTCCACCGAAGGCCCCAGTGGCTGCGCCCGCATGCGGTTCCACCCCCCATTCTGGCACACCCCTCACACGTTTCGTGGCCCCATAGGGAGCTCCACCGAAGGCCCCAGTGGCTGCGCCCGCATGCGGTTCCACCCCCCATTCTGGCACACCCCTCACACGTTTCGTGGCCCCATAGGGAGCTCCACCGAAGGCCCCAGTGGCTGCGCCCGCATGCGGTTCCACCCCCCATTCTGGCACACCCCTCACACGTTTCGTGGCCCCATAGGGAGCTCCACCGAAGGCCCCAGTGGCTGCGCCCGCATGCGGTTCCACCCCCCATTCTGGCACACCCCTCACACGTTTCGTGGCCCCATAGGGAGCTCCACCGAAGGCCCCAGTGGCTGCGCCCGCATGCGGTTCCACCCCCCATTCTGGCACACCCCTCACACGTTTCGTGGCCCCATAGGGAGCTCCACCGAAGGCCCCAGTGGCTGCGCCCGCATGCGGTTCCACCCCCCATTTTGGCACACCCCTCACACGTTTCGTGGCCCCATAGGGAGCTCCACCGAAGGCCCCAGTGGCTGCGCCCGCATGCGGTTCCACCCCCCATTCTGGCACACCCCTCACACGTTTCGTGGCCCCATAGGGAGCTCCACCGAACGCTCCAGTGGCTGCGCTCGCATGCGGTTCCACCCCCCATTTCGGCACACCCCTCACACGCTTCGTGGGTGGCTCCATGGGGAGCTCCACCGAACGCCCCAGTGGCTGCGCTCTCATGTGGTTCCCCCCCCCCATTTCGGCACACCCCTCACACGGTTCGTGGCCCCATAGAGAGCCCCACCGAAGGCCCCAGTGGCTGCGCTCGCATGCGGTTCCACTTCATTTTTCGGCACGCCCTTCACACGCCTCGTGGCCCCATAGGGAGCTCCACCGAAGGCCCCAGTGGCTGCGCTCGCATGCGGTTCCGCCCCCCATTTCGGCACACCCCTCACACGTTTCGTGGCCCCACAGGGAGCTCCACCGAAGGCCCCAGTGGCTGCGCCCGCATGCGGTTCCGCACCCCATTCTGGCACACCCCTCGCACGTTTCGTGGCCCCTAGGGGGGCTCCACCAAAGGTCCCAGTGGCACTGCCTGCTTGCGTCCGCCACCACCCAGCACAGCCCTTGTTCCCTGCGCTTCACCCACCCAGAACAGCGCTTCGCAGCCCTATAGGGAGCTCCACCAAAGGTCCCAGCGGCACCGCCCGCATGCGTCCGCCACCACCCTGCGCAGCCCTTGCTCCCTGCCTGCGTTTCACCCACCCAGTACAGCGTTTCGTGGCCCCATAGGGAGCTCCACCGAAGGTCCCAGTGGCACCGCTCGCATGCGTCCGCCACCACGCAGCACAGCCCTTGCTGACCGCGCCTCACCCACCCAGTACAGCGTTTCGTGGCCCCATAGGGAGCTCCACCGAAGGTCCCAGTGGCACCGCCCGCATGCGTCCGCCACCACCCAGCACAATTGCGGCATTCACAACTGCATATGGTTGGGTCCTTCGCCAGCCTAATTTTCGAGTGACGGCAGTTCTGGTTAGTGAAACTGGCGGGGGGGGGCGTCCCCCAGTACACATCATGTAACCAGGTCCCACCAAACCCAGTTGTGCCAACGCCCGACCAAGGCCGGCGACGGCGGGCCTCCGAGGGTCCCGCGTCCTTACCGCCCGTCCTTGATACACGTTTTTCAAGCAGTGGCAAAGCATCTTAGTTCGCCTAGGCCTACCAAAGAATGTTCTACGAATTTTTTGTGGTCTGCACGAAATGTTCTTAGAACATTTCTGGTTGGGACTGTTTTGTTTTAACACATCGGGTTTATGTTCTAAGAACATCGTGTTTCTTCTTAGAACATGTTTGGGTTTATGTCGCGGTAGGATTTTAGGAATGCCGGGTCGGTCCCTGCTCAAGTTTTGATTGTGACGTGTCGCTGGGGCGGCCGCTTCGACACGGTCAACACATGCTCCCTATCGTTATTTGCCTTCGTCCTATACCTTCTCGGGTGCCTGTGGGGATCTCTCGGGAGGACTTCCGGAAACTGCTTGGAGGCGGGTCGGGGGGAGTGTTTTGGTGCTTCTTGGGCGTGTCTTGGGATCCTCTTGGGGCCTTTTGGGGGGGGCTTTTGGGGGGCCTCCTGGGGCTTCTCGGGCGCCTCTTAGGAGCCTGCTGGCAGTCTCGGGTTCACCACAGAGCGGAGGGCTCAAAATGTGACGTCGAGTTCCCCTGTTGGTGCCCTCTTCGGGCCATCTCTGTGGCCTCTTGGGCCCTATTGGGCTATCTTGGGGCCCTCTTGGGGGCCTCTTGGGCCATCTTGGGATTATCTTGGGCGCCTCTTGAGCCGTCTTAGGACGTCAGGAGTCCGACAAGGTGAGAACGACGGAGTCCTTCAAAAGCTGACGACAATCGAGTACGTATTAGCGCCTCTTGGAGGCTCTTCTGGGACCCCTCGGCCGTTTGAGGGGCCTCTTGGGCCATCTTGCTGCCACCCTTGGCGTTTTGATGCTCTCTTCGGCCGTCTCGGGGTTCTCTTGGATTCTCTTGGCAGCCTCTTGGGTCCTTCTTGGCCCATTTCGGAGTCCTCTGGCCTCTGGAAAGCACACTGGACGCACGCCAGCACACCTCCAGAGCGCCTAGGAGATTTTGGCAAAGGGGTGACTGGGCCATTTAGAGTCCTACAAATCAAGAGTTCTTGCACGACACACATCTGCAGGAGCTTTGAGGGTAGTCCACTACGTGCTCGAGGCACGGCGCTAGACTACTTACGAAGAGGGTTTTCGCGAGGGTGTTTGAGCGACGGGGCCCATTCGGAGGCAGATCCCAACAACCCCCAACATAAGTTTGTGCGGATAGCTTGGAGGGATCACGACTTCAATGCGCCAACGTTGTCCAGAAGCTCTTTGGCATTGGACACAGCGAGGGTCACACCCGCTTTCAGCGTAACACTTCTTGTAATCACTACAGTGCCCGTGAACACCATGTTGAAAGCGTGCAGAAGCATTCCACCGAACAACACGAGACCTTCGAGTACCACGGATCCATCGTCTGTAAACGTCATGATCGCAATTTGCACCACAGCGCCCATGAGCGCCACAGGGTCTATGAACGCCAGGTTTCCACAGGGTCTCCCATGGTTCGTGGGTATGTTGTTAGCTGTGAACGCCGCGGGAATCGTGATCAGGGCAGCTCACGTGCGAGCACCCCGGAGCCAGTGAGCACCACAAGTCTTGTGAGGAGGACACCTCGTGATGGCAGCACAATGCTGGCGATGATGCAAAACCTGCCGGCACCGAAGTTCGCCCTGTTACACCGTAGGTGGTGGTGTTGGCTGGTGTTGCGGAGGGGGCGTTGGTGATGGACGTGATACAGTCGGGTCCCTGAAGAAGGAACCCTTTTCGTTGGGGATGGGGCTCCGTGTTCCTTAATTGTTTCGCAGCTTGCCTTGGATTTTCCTTAGGTTTTTCAACTTATGGAAAATAGGGGCATCGTTCCTTATTTAGGGTTCCTAGGTCAACGCCTCGACTGTAGTGATGGTGGTGTGGAAGGAGTGACGGTGTTTGACTTGATGGTGGCGACCCCGGCAGTGCTCGCTGTTCAGTGTGTCTGACCAAAGCAGTGGCGGTGGTTTGTCTGTCTGTAGCCTTGCATCCTTGACGGACGCGTGGGCAAAATCAACAAACAGAAACAGTCCAGCCTGAATGTGTCTACGAACACATGCAGAGGGTGATACAAAATATGCCCTGATTCGTATCGCTTACGGGGCTCACGTCTAAGATTGACGGTGGTAGTGTAAGTAGTTTTGCGGTCCACCCTTGCCCGTCGACAGCCTAACAGTTAACATTGCCCATTTCCCCAGTCCGCCCTCCATCGATACGTACCCCTGCGATATATATATATATATATATATATATATATATATATGTATTGCATTCGTCTTGTCAGCGTTAGGGTTCAACCCAGTCCTTGCTCTTGGCATGACACACAGCACGCCCCCCCTGCGTGGAGGATGCATGGACCGATATTGAGCGCAGGATGGCCTAGAGGGCCGAGCTAGCTGATCGAAAAACATAGTCTCCCTGGGGAGATTGGACGATGATTCTTTCGGGGGGGTTCTGGATTGCTCATTTGACAGGTTGGCTCTTTTCGGTCAGACGAGTTGGTCTTTTGATGTCACCCCGATGCGATTCGAATGCAATCCCGTGACGAGTAGGCGGTGTCGGATTTTGCCATGTAGCTTCGGTTCGGACAGTTGTGGTTCTTACGGTTTTTTACTGTTATCTCTATCCGGGCAACAGCGTTCTGGCAGCGAGATGTCCAACGCATGGTGCGATAGTGCACATTGTCAAGCACATGAGTTTGAATATGGCGCGATTTCTTCGAGCATGTCCGCCAGCATTCAAAAGCGGCGGCTCTGGTGTACGTCAAGGAGACGTGTGGACCACGCCCATGTGCCGCAGGCGTGTGTTAGGGAGACGGCGGCGAACATTGGTTTGACATACGCACATGCGTTGGCAAGGTTTGGGGCTGCGCATACACAGGCGCGATGCGCCAAAGGGCGCGGAACGCACAGGCGGCGCTAACGGAGGCAACATTGGTGTTGAGACCGCATCGGGCTGCTCTTGGAGCATTTGGCTCCGGTGTGGGCAAGTTCTCAGGGTTGTTTGCGCGCGACCCAAGCCTTGTCGCACACGTCTCTTGTTCCCCTCCCCCATCGCCGGGCGCGGGAGGAATTGGGCGAAGTTCATGAGCGAGAAGGACGACCGGATTTGGTGGTACAACCCCGAGAAGCCCGACGACTGGTTTTGGCACCCCGTTTCTGAGAGGCGGGCGCGCGGGCCCCACGCGCGCCATTTCATGCGCTCATGTTTTTTTTGTTGCAGATCCCCTTTGACACGTTCTACTAATCAACTGGTGGATCATATATACATATGTGTGTATACGCATACACATAATTTAAATACGCAAGCAAGTCGCACGTGCATGCCCTGTGTATGATGTGTGCGGTGTGTGTGTGTGTGTGTGTCCGTGGGGTGGGTGCCTTGTGTATGTTGTGTGTCCTGTGTGCGTTGTGCGCGTGTGTGTGTTGTACGTGTGTTGTGTGCGATGTGTTTTGTGGTGTGTGTGTGTGTGTGCTGTGTGTTGCGTGCGTTCTGCGTCGCGTATGATGTGTGGGTGTGTTGCTTGGTTGGTGGCTTGTGCTTTGTAGGCGGTGCTTGTCTTCTGTGCGTTGCATGCTCGTGTTATGTGTACGTTGTGTTATGTGCGGTGTGTGGATTGTGTGTTCTGTGTGTTGTGCGCACCCCGCGTGCTCTTTTTTGGTTCCAGGCTTACATGCTTGACCAAACAAAGAGGTTGTATTAGTTGGACAATGACGTGGCGATTTGCGCGAGGGGCGCGCCCAGCTTGCCGCGTCAATGCGAGGTCATGAGCGCAACGGCCGCACAAGTAACAGGCGGCACGCGATACGTTCCTGGGCTCCGCCCCCCGGAGAGGCACGCATGATAATACGGGTATGCGCAATAGACTCGCGCACAGCCGACCTCCCACATACATGACCATACACATCTGCTAGGAAGCATAGACCCCAAACGAAGGGTTCGAGCCAACTGCGTGGGGCAGCCTCCGTGGTGCAATCCACTCGGTGCCAGTAGTTCTGAAGAGCGTGGAACTGCCATTTGCACTGCTTGCGAATGCATCCCACCCCCCCAACCCGAAACCCAGTTTGCAAAACCAATGCAGTTGCGATTGCGATGAACGTTTGGCGGTGGCTGGAGCATCGTTGCGGCCGCGGTGGCGCGCGCAAGCTCGCACGCAGAGCGGCCAGCGAGTCTGGCGCGACCGACGCGGCCGCGGTGGCGCTGACCGCTTAGGGTTGCCCAGTGCGTCTCGGCGGCCGCGCTGGCGCGCGGGCGCTTTACTGAGAGTCGGTGGCTTGGGCGGCCGAGGTATCATGGTGACGTCAACAAAGGCGGGCACGATGTTAGTAGCAACGGTGCTGGCGATGATGGCGATGACGCTGACAAGGCCAATGACGGTGCCGATGTTGGCCACGCCGATGACGATGATGATGTCCACGTGTCGGTGATGAAGGTTGTGGGGGGATTTCAAAATGCGCGCGCGGCCGACGCGTGCGGAGTGGTCTGCATGGTGCTATTAGACACGGCAGCAAGCGCGCAAAGGCTTGATAATGTTCCACAGGCTTACGCCACACCCGCCGACCCTTACATCTGTATTGAGGCTTTTGAGGCTCCCGTGGCGTTGGACATGTATCGGAGGCACCCGATGTTGAGTGTCAAGCGCAATCAGTTCATGATCGCTGTTTTTTGGCAATGGAAGCGCGCGCCGCGCAAGGACGAACAATGGGAGCAGTCATGCGGACATTGGAAGAGGGTGCGGCGTGAGTTGGATGTCCAGTTGCGTTGCCATCACGCGTGCGCGGCGGCGAGACAGCTGATTGATCGCGCGGTCTCACAACGCCGGCGAGAAGGCCAGCGCGAAAAAGCTGCCGCATGCGCTCCGGGGGGAGGACGTCGATCGGAAAGGATAGGAATTGCTGCGAAGTACGAGTTCCACAGGAAAGGGATGCAGCTTTTGTAGGGGATGCAAGACGGGCGTGAACAGCGCGAGCGGGACATAGCGCAAAACGCGCAACACATGTGCAACTACATATGGGAGGGTGATGGGCGGCCGATGCGGCATGGTGGCGATCAGGGCGACGCAGAAGTTGGCGACGCGTAGGGCCAGAAACGGTTCGAAAAATGTATGGCGCGCGATGCTACAGAGTCAAGGCGCAACATAGTCCGTGCCGTGCCAACGCGAAGTGGATTGAGAACGCTGGCGCAGTGCAGTGTTCGAACGGCAAATGCCTGTCGCTCTTCGGAGAGAAGGCGGGGACTTCGGACGCACATCCGAAACACAACGCAGCCGGGGGCAGGTTGTGTCGAAACTGCGCGGGGGAGTTTGGCAAATTGACCCGTGCCCAAACAATCGGAAACGGAAATCCGCGGAAACAAAGCCGCTGACGTGCGCGGCGCATGGGGGAATTGCGTCGGGCACGATTTTAAACAGAGGACGGGCGCATGTAATGCCACCGGCAGACGAGACAGGAACGCACGGCACGCGCAGATTGCAAGGACTGCGGGCTTACCGCGCGCATTTGGCAGGCGTATCAGCGCACCGTCACGTGCCCACAAGAAATTGCCGAAGTCGGCGTTCCCCGTCGCGGGTGGCACTGTCACGCCCCACGAAGGAAACAGCACCTTGAAGTGTAAATCGTGCAGATGATACCACCTCGGGTGACCAGTTGGGAGATCGAGTCTGCAATGGCGCGACACGTGCCAAAATCCGCGGAAAGAGGACCAGCAGGGGAGAGAACGAGAGGGAAGATGATGACTGCGATAAGGAAGCTGCAAAGAAGGGAGGGGCGGGGACGGGGGAGGGGACGAGGGAGGAGGAGAAGGGGGAATATGAGCAGGACCAGGCGCAGGAGGACAAATCATGATCTGGCATTCGGGCCACATCTGGTGCCTCTGGCGGCCGTTCGGGACGATGCCAGCACCTACTGGACGTATTTATTCATCCCACAACCGTTTCTGATGGTCCCGGGGGCCGAAAACGGCCCGAAAGGCCCGAAATGGAGGAACCGTTTCGGAACATGGGGGGGGACGAGGAGGAGGAGGAGGAGGAGAAAGAGGAGGAGGAGGAGGAGGAGGAGGAGGAAGAGGAGGAGAAGGAGGAGGAGGAGGAAGACGACGACGACGAGGACAATGAGGACGAGGAGGAAGAGGACAAGGAGGGCGATGAGGACCATGAGGACGAGGAGGACGAGGAGGACGAGGAGGAGGAGGACGAAGACGAGGAGGAGGAGGAGGACAAGGAACAGTAACATGAAAAAGGAGACGCAGAACACGAATAACACTTATATGAATACGAATATTCATAGTAAACATAGCAACAAGTGTCATGATATGAGTAATTATGATAAGCTGTGCTAGGAACAGCGACACTCGTACTGAATTTACGAATATTGATACGAATACGAATATTACGATCCACTAAACCATCACAGTACCAGTAACACACATGAAAAGAAGCACACAGCGAATAATCGTATTAATACCAGAAGAGGAGGACAACTACTAATAACGACAATCATAATAAGCATGAAATTCATAACAACTTTAATACTACTACGACAACTACTACTGCTGTAACGAAGAATCGGACCACTAGAATTAAAACTAGGAGCGAAAAGAATACCAACAACACGATAAAGAGGAGAAGGAGACAGAGGAGGAGGCGGAGGAGGACGAGGACGAGGACTACGACGACGACGACGGCGACGACGACGACGACGAGGAAAGGAACGAGGAGGACGAAAAGGAGGAGGAGGAGGAGGAGCAGGACGAGGAGGAGGAGGAGGAGGCGGATCAGGAGTAGAAGGAGGAGGAGGAGGAAGAGGGGGAGGAGGAGGAGGAGGAGGAGGAGGGAGGAGGAGGGGAGGAGGAGGAGGAAGAGGACGAGGAGGAGAGGACGACACGAGGAGTAGGACACGAGGAGGTGAAGGAGCAGGAGGAGAGGGAGGAAGACGAGGAGGAGGAGTTGAGGAGGAGGAGGAGGCAGGACAAGGAGGAGGAGGAGGAGGAGGAGGAGGTCGAGAGGAGGAGGAGGGGAGGAAGAGGCAGAGGTGGATGCGGAGAGGAGGAGGATGAGGAAGAGGAAGAGAATGTCGAGGAGGAGGGGGAGGACGAGGAGGACGGGGAGGAGGAGGAACAGGACGAGGAGGAGGAGGCGGAGGAGGAGGAGGAAGAAGAGGAGGAGGAGGAGGAGGAGGTGGAGGAGACGAGGAGGAAGAGAAGAGGAGGACACGAGGAGTAGGACACGAAGAGGAGAAGGAGCAGGAGGAGGGAGGAGGAAGAGGAGGAGGAGTTGAGGAGGACATGGAGGAGGAGGAGGAAGATGATGATGAGGAGGAGAGGAGGAGGAGAGGAGGAGGAGGAGGAGGAGGAGGAGGAGGGGAGGAGGAGGGAGGAGGAGGGAGGAGGAGGAGGAGGAGGGAGGAGGAGGGAGGAGGAGGAGGAGGAGGAGGAGGAGGGGAGGAGGAGAGAGGGAGGAGGATGAGGAGGAGGAGGAGGAGGAGGGGGAGGAGGAGGAGGAGAGGAAGGAGGAGGAGGAAGGAGGAGGAGGAGGAGAGGAGGAGGAGGAAAAGGACGAGGAGGAGGAGGCGGAGGAGGAGGAGGAGGAGGAAGAGGAGGAGGAGGTGGAGGAGACGAGGAGGAAGAGGAGGAGGAGGAGGAGGAGGACGAAGAGGAGGAGGAGGAGGAGGACGACAAACACGAAGAGGACGAGGAGGAAGAGGAGGAAGAGGAGGAGGAGGAGGAGAAGGAGGAGGAGGAGGAAAAGTAGGAGGAGGGAGAGGAGGAGGACGAGGAAAATTGGGCGATCGGCGTGCCAGGTTTTCAATCGATTGTGGAGGTTTTCGATGTTGTTTGGCTTTTTACCCTTTTCGGCCTCTGGAGGCGTTGTTCGGTCTCCGTGTCGGCAATCGAATGGCCTTCGGTGCGTGCCGCCACCATGCCTGGATTGGGTCGGACTCCTCGAGGATGTTTCTTGGGGTCTTTTCGGGTTGGCCTTTTGGGGGCGCCTTGGGACCTCTTTGAGGTGTTTTGGGGTTTTGGGGGGGCCTCCTGGAACCCTCACCAAAAAAAAAGTTCGCAGTGTCCGTTCGGGTTTTCCTGTGTGGGCCCTGTCTTGGAGCAGTCTTGGGGGCCTCTTGGGCCGTCTTGGAGGCCTCTTGGGTCATCTTGGGACCTTTGGGGCCCTC